CTATGGCAGATTAGTCTCGAGGTCGATTCCTACCCGAAAACGCAATGAATGTGAACTTTTTTTTCACGCCACTGGCTATAAATAATAGCTATAGGTGTTGTTTGTCAGCTTATACTATCAGTGTCCGTTGTCTGTTTTGGGTTACCACGCCTTTCATCGAGAGGAATATGTCGGATTTCATACTTGAGATAAGCTTTGAAATCACACATATCTTAAATAAATGCTAGTTACACAAGAATCCCAAATTTTTTTTTTTTCTATATTACTACAAACTAGATACAAGAAGTTACCATACTATGTAGGCGCAGATATATACGTACAAGATGAAAACAAAATGGCAGGAGTTGATCTAAACCCTTCGAGTTCGTTTTAGTATCACGTGTGGATTTAAAAGGAACGTAAAATTTATGAAAACACGTCTAAATAAATACGAAGAATGTGACTCTGGTTCAGTTCACATGCACGTAACGCACATAATAATAAGATGACCAAAACTTTCAAAATGATCCGTTACATTTATCTAGCTGTTCGATAATGCTACGGGTGTATTTGCAAGAAAGAGAATCCTTCTTTCTTCCTGGAAAGGCTCTGTTTCTGGCAAATTTCGGAAATGACACACCAAAAGAAGAAAGCTTAAATGTTTTTAGTCATTTAGCTAAGGAAACTAGTAACAGCTATAAACGTGAGATTACATTTGTCGAGTTTGTATGCCAACTTCAGATGGAATATACTTTTTCCTTTTGGGCTTCTTTACCATCTTGCAATTCATGCATTATTAGGCCGCTCGAAGAGTTCCTTGCCGAGACTGGTTCTGATCTGTTCAATTTCTGAGAACACTTTTCCGGCTAATATATATTGCATGGTTCTGGTAGTCTTAAGGGGCCAAACCTGGTAAATAAGCTTCTTACGCCAGTTAAAGAATATTGTTCCACACACAAACGGTTATGTAGAGATGGCCGCTGTCAAAAAAACCACATTGCAATTTTCTGGACTGTAAGGGGCCTTTTGTCTCGAATTGTGCTGTCCTTACTAATCCGCTTAACTGTTTCATGTAGTTTTAGAATCTTCAACCAAATATACAAAAGAACCTTTTTTTTTATGAATAATAGCGCAAAATTAAACTAGTTACGGGAAGTAAACCCACAATTAAAAAAAGGAGGCCCACTTTTTATTGCTAATAGCAATCTAGTATAAAAAATAATTATTTTCATTAACCGACTTGTTTAGAGTCGTGCAATGTGGTACCATGCTCGTTTGTTTTGCTTATGAAGAATCTACACACAAAGGTATCATCCACAGTTGCTTAGATAATATCCATTTATACTTGGTTCAAGTGGCACGTTTAAAGTGTCACTATTACTGCTAAACAAAAACCATATAGGCGTAAAAAGGGGGAAATTGCAAAGCGATATCAAAAAATCTAAAGTTGATAATCGATATAGTCCTCATAACAAAAATATTAAAATGATCAAAATAAACTGGAAAATTACGCGTACACTTAGTCGTAATAATAAGCCACATTTTACGATTCCCATCCAATTTAGAAATACTATTTTCTATGGTGGACTTCTATCACCAAAGACAATCAGTCTCACAAGTTTACCAGTCAACACGGAAAACGTAGATTTTCGCGTTTGCTCTTTGATTTATCTCAGCTGCAATACAGTATTTAATGTTTTGTGAGATGTTTAAAAAGGGATGAATCAATCAAATCGCATTGTGTGATCTAATTTCGAGCGATCATCGTCAACGATGCCCGGATATCACACAATTAAAAAAAGACTTATTTTCATTTATTGATGAGTGGATCCTCTTAGACCTGACACACCGACGCTATGTAACTGTAGGGTGCAATTTGTCTTTCCTTCCATAGTAAGACGCACCATCTACCTACATTATTGCAGGCACTGAAGCCTGAACTCCCCACGAGAACTACTAAAAAATTAAGGTAACTATAAAAAACGTGAAGCTTGCAAATTACTAACAGCATAATTTTTCGCTTGACCATTTTGAGTACTTCGTACATAGGCTACAGTTGGACTGTGTACTGCGTACCCAAGATGACTAAATATCTTACTAAAGACCAATTACTGATAATAAATATCGACTAAACGCTCATATTATGAAAAATAATTTACACTGAAAATCGCAGAACAATAAATTTCTAACATATCCGAGTTACCAAGTCCAAGTCGGCTGAGTAGACCGAAACATGCGATTTATTAATGCAGTGCACCTGTTACCTCTGTGAAGAGCTCTAGCCTTCTGGCTGTCATGGCCGCGCAGTATGGACAATGAAAATTCGGCACTAATTTTTACATTATTTGTAAATACGTTTCGGATACACGGGACGTGTGCAGCATGCATTCATTAAAAGCTTTACCATACGATTAATGAAGGAACATATTTTAGCTTGAATTATTTATACTTTGATTATTTCAACGCCATTCACTCGCAATGGAAAGCGGCAACAATCTTAGTAAGGCCGGCTTTTCCAACCAGTCAAGTACGGTCCAGCCCAACTGAGAAAACGTTCTTCGGGTCCCTTTGAACCATGCTAGAGACGGAAAACGATCGATTCATATTAAATATCTTATATAAAGCAACTTATAGGTAACCATTTTAACAAGATGTTTTAGACAAGAACTGAACCTGCAGGCGCCCTTTGGGCTGAATGGAGAATTGCGAAACGATAATTGATCATTGAATTTTTTCGGGTAACAGTCGAACTTCACCGTCGGGCGAGCAGTTCGACACGTATTTTGGTTGAATATATTCTACATATTGACACTTTAAACTTGAACTTGAGTGTTCGAAAGTTGATACTGAAAGTGTTACTGAGTGGTAGTTAAGGTAACTGGCTTTTATTATTCAATGAAATCGGTACAATTGCGAATGAAATGCTGTCCTATTGCAGGAAAATGTCCGAAACAATGAAAGGTAAGCCTTTCGCATAGCTTCTTTGAAATGTGGGCTTTAAATAAGCCCACATCGTATCAACTGACTTCACATATAGGAAGTGTCCTGTAAACAAAATATGTTTGCCCAAAACATGGAAGTGATTTGATATTTTGTGTACCATATATTATACGTTAGACTCTCTAAAGGGCTTTATGTTGCGATCTGCTAGTAACTTGTTGAAATATTCAGATTGCGGATAACTATCATTATAACTTATTTTTCGTAGCATAAATTCTGCTGTGTGTGGGAATTATATTAGAGCCATGTTCATGTATGCAATCCTTAGTGCATTTGAATCGTTACTAAAAAAATAAAGCACATATCGTCAAGTATATAAATTCTACCTTTGAATAATATTTTTTAATTAGTCAAATATTATATTCGCATTATTTTGCCTACACATGCTCTATGTTCAAATTAATGCGTAAATAGTGATTGCTCTTCTATGTTAGCTTTTTTATCCGCGGATGCCCAAACGTTGCATACGATTGGCAAGCTTTTTCTCTGTCCATCGTACCTGCCGTCCCCACTGTAAATTTCTATAGACTTTCAAGCGAGTGTCCCTTATTTTCGCAATGCCATTCTGTCGATATTTCAATCGATTTAAAGGTTTAAAACTAAAAAGAAGAAAGGAACTAAAATTCAATTTTAAAAGGTCCAGCGAAAGTGAACGCGAAAGAGTATAATGCTTTAGAAGGTAACCGTACTATTTCTTTACAATGGGTGTCTTTTAGTCTCTTTTTTTGAAATTTTTTGTTCTTTCTCAAGTAATTTGGGCAAGTTGTCTAAAATATCAATTTGTAAATCGATAGATTATATTATGTTGACATGTTTACTTTAAATATAGTTTTATTTCAGTGTTTGAAAAAAAAATGTATCTGGGTCAAGGCCCAAGTTTCATGTGAAAATGTTTGGTACGGATATACAAATGATGACAGACTCGAAGAGTTTTCCAACAGTAGATAACAGTTGACTATCAACAAAAAAATTCTCGGAATTAAAAATATAGAAAAGAAAAGAAGAATCGACATTGCTTATGTACGAACTGAATATAAACCGTTTTCTATTACTTGTAATTGTACTGTTCCTACAGTCGTTGTCCTACAATGTACAATTGTTGATGTACAAGAGTGATCAATAACAATAGTAAACTTAATACTTACACCATTTTCACATAAAATTCATTGCAGATTGACAGGCGCCTGTGAAACGCATTCACATGATTGTCATGATCAGATTCATTAATTTAAAATGTATTTGAACTAAATCAGTTAGTGTGAGCATATTATCGTGTTTGAATTGACCTGAAAGAAATATCGTGCCATTATATGTTTAACGTAACCCATTCATGGTCGTATAACAAAATGTCAGAAAATTTTTAAATCTGTGAAAACCACAAACTTATGTGCTGTCAAACTTGCGCACAATTCGCTGGTCTTGGGAAGTCTCCGTCGAAAAGGACGATAAAGTGAGATAGGTTGTCTGAGTTGCGCTACTATTAGCGATATACCGAGTATCAACACAATATACAGAGTCACAAAATATATTTTCATTTACGTTGCTATATTGAAGACATTGTTAATCATCAACCACCCCTGAAAAAAATCACTTCCTACTTAGTGCGCAATGTGATCTATTTTTTATCATCTATTTTAATTTTCGTAGGTTGCGGATACTCGTGGCTTTGGAGTCGTACGTGGCGGGACTGCCCAAAAAGGACATCATAAAAAATTTTCAGTGGAAAAGGAAAATCTATTCGAAGGGAACATCTTCAAGGGCGAGGAATTAGGGCTTGGACTTTATAATGATATAACATCTGATTTGAAGTAAAGGTCCACCATATGCTGCATGAAAAAAATATGTAAGCTATCAAGCAAATGTTTTCAACATTTGCACATTTTGTAACAACTTTGAAGAGCATTTGTAACAAATTAGAAGAGAACCAATTGGTATATTATGCGAAATAACCTCTGTAAGGAGATTAAAATTTTTGCATTTAATTGTTCTTCAGCTAGTTCAACAGATATACAATACAAATAATGCAGGTATCGGAGTTTTCTCGTGTTTTAATGGACGCAACGTAACAAAGAGTTGAAGTTATCTTGAATTGCACAGTGCAAAATAAGTTTGACAAAATCTAGCTTGACAATTCAAACAAGGTTTTCCTCTCTGTACTTGAGTGTACAGTAAGGTGGTACTTTTAGTGTTTGGTTACTTTGTTTTGTCTCTTAGGAGATGGCCAAAAGGCCAATCTAATTTCATATGTAGTGGGTACAAGTCCGGAGAGCAAGGAATCCCTTATACGCAAGGCGATAATCCATATCGAGTAAAAGACGAAGTGTATTTGCTTCGCGCCAAACGCCGGTCAAAAGGATTTCATTACGATTGCTGCAAGCTACGGATGCTTCAATAGCGTAGGTCGAAAGGGGGGCGAACAGATCCTTTCGCTTGGATCAGGTACTATATGATTAATCTCGTGCTTTATTTTAAAGTCCTTCCTTTGGAACTGCCTTATCTTTAAGTGATGGAACGCCGGGCCCTTTCGGCCATCGCACACGCATAGCAGTCTTGGCTTTTCACACAATCCATTCCGAAGCAAGGTTTCGGAGTGATCGCGATGTGCCAGTTGGGTGCGTTCGTGGGCCTTGCTATGTTGTTTCATCACTAATAATACTAATGGAACATATATCTCAGTTAAGAGAAATGCGCATCGATTTTTTGATGTAGATTAAGCAACGCTATTCAATTTACTTTATTAAACTAATTCAAAAGTATAATATGCCTCAAGCAAATTAAACTCCGTAAATCACCTTTGCATCCAATATTACAGGGTGTGACCGTTTTGAAGTTGTCGTCCACGAATTGATTCATGCCTTAGGCTTCGACCATGACCATACGCGGTCTTATAGAGATTCCTGTATGTTTTTCTTGAAAAAAAAAAGCAAAACCAGATTCCGAAGCCAGTACAAAATAAAAAGACCCGATGAACACAGGTAAATATAGAGTCCGTCCGATTTTTGATTCTCCTTAAGCGTAGTATTGTAATTATTTTGAACTGCACACAACAAAAATTGCATAAATAAAAGAATAGACATGGTGAAATAATAAATATCAGTGTGACATTACATAAATTTAATTTTCCGTCGACCTATAATTTATTCACGATTTCTTTACGTACCAAAGACGTATGGATGCACTATTACGACTTTGATGCTGACGAACTATCTGGGTATTGCTAAGTGATCAGTGACAATATCGAAATGGAGAATGGCAATGAAGAGCGAAAGCTAAACTCCTTGAAGGACACCTTCCAGAGAAAGGGGCGTAGGGTGCCGTGTAACCATGACGGATATCCAACAAAAAATTACCACAACGGCTATATGGTTGAGGTTAAACGTCAACGTCGCACGACACGGGGTCACCTCTCTTTCTTAAATAGAATCCGGAGAACGCTTCGTGATTAACTCCTAATTTAGTCTAACAAGAATGAGGCTGTTGTCACTCTGTTTTCGATCAAAATTTCCGCGCTGCTTTTAAAAAACAGGTTTCTCTAGGTTAGTTACAGATAACAAAACTCACACGTCCACTGAAATGCGATCAATGGGTCCGCAATTAACGTGCACACCCAACCACATGAGTTTTAAAAAGTCTATGAGGTCAAGCTACAGTCGACGCTTCGTTGAGTAGAATAACCTTGCATAAGGAGAATAGTGTTGATCTTCACTCATTTTATGCCCTGATGTCTACAGAAGAGGACTGACGGCCCAACGATGAAAGTTTCACGACGTACCAAAAATAGGCTTGTGCTGTCGATTTCCGCGATAAAGAAAATGCATATAACAGGTGCAAATACATATTACACGTACCTATCTTTCACTGCATAGAATCTTACGGCAAAAGAAAATACGCATTTCTCTTCATCGTGTATCTGTTGGTCATTCTACATAATGCCGTATTAGATAATTCTGATACATTCAATTCTTACAATGAATCAACAATCTCGCTTTTCGCTTTTGATTCGATCATGTTATACGGCTCAAAAGCTTTCGCTATAAGCCGCGATAAGACATCTATAATTTGGCTCAACGCGGCACTCTTCGTGAGATCACTCAAAAAAAGGGGCTTAGTAGTAATGACATCGCTCGGATACGCAAACTCTACAATTGCTAATTCGCTCTATTAGTCGTGTCCCTTCAATACGTTGTTGGCAGATTCGGATATACCTTCTCAAGTCGTGTATCGTAATGACGACAACCGATATATTTGTTGGATAGCAATTCACTTCAGCGTATCTTTTTGAATATCGAATACCCTAAAGTAGGGCACTCCCGAAAAATGAATGGTATGATCAACTCAATGCAAAAAAATTTATAGCATTGCATCTGCATGTTTGCTTGCAAGCGGACCTTGTATTTCAAGTCTGTATTATAAAACGTTAGAATTTGTCGGGCTGAGTTAATTGGAAGGCATATACGGAAATAGGGATTAGTTTGTCTTGCAATGTCGACCCGAAAACAACGTCTATCTTTTGCAGACCGCGTTTAAGATAGTGGACTATTCATTCTCACAGTAAAGGCTGGTAAGTAACAGGCGTTCCAATCTGCGAGAACTAGTTTCCTCATTGGAAATATGGTATGAAAACTAAAAATCTATTATAATAGATACAATTATAATAATCATTTTGTTTCACAATAAGTACTGCATGACGTTTACCCAGCAGTCACACTGAAGTGACCCATATATATTAATATTAAACAAGAACTGTACCTATTTATATAGTCGGTATGAAAGTGATGCCCATTTATAATGTCATAATATATGCACTCATAACAGCACATATGTATATAGCATCGTTGTCAAGCTTGGTCCCGTGAAAGAACTGTGTTACTCAGAAGTACGCAGGAAAAATCTTTATAATTTCATTGTATTATATCAGATTGCCGCAAGTTAGTGATACCCGTTGCTGCTAAAAGCTTTTTATTTTAGCCATTTTCTGCTCATGGTCAAGAATTACGCGCTACTGGAAATCCCCTATGGTGTTTTATTAGCATTACAAAAAATCAGATTAAGTTTGTACTTTTAATATGTATATGCCAGGTAGCAAAAACACAACTGTAGACACTCTTTATTCGTCTTTCATTGAGGTAAACGGGACCACCGAAACAACCCTGGGTAGGCGTAGAGAGTACGAGGAGAGCTCTTTAGTTAAGCGTACTGCTCACAAGTGGCTTATTAGGTTCAAAGGCGTCAAATTGCATTGTAATTGTTATTAGCTAAGACTATATGCTTAATTAGGGAGTCCTCACCGAACATAGATCAAGCTGCCTGGGTTGCTCCGCCACCTTTTTGATATGGGTCAAAAATTATGTCCAAATTCACTTCTTTTTTACCCAACAGTTCGGGACTCAAGCTAAAGGCAAAAAAGTATGAATCGAACAATACGAAAGTAACACCTCGTAATAAAAAGAAAGAGGTTTTTGGCCATGCATGAAATTAATTAACGAGCAAATGGCATGACTTGTATCGGACAAAATAACAAATAAAATATATATAACTTAGTTTCACTGTGAAAGACGCACACGCAAGCTATTTCAATAAACCCATACATTTCCTGCTACATCATACAACTCAACGCCTACCAGGGCCCTACTACAAACTTGGACCTACAAGATAGCAGCTAAGAGAGCACATTTCCCTATT